GTGGGGGCGGGGTGGGGGGTGTCTGGGGTCTCGTGGGTGGGTTGGGGGGCATCAGGGGTCACCGAGGTGGGCTCGGGTGTGTCTGGGGTCTCCTCGGTGGGTTTGGAGGCATCAAGGGTCACCAAGGTGGGCTCGGGGGTGTCTGGGGTCTCCTCGGTGGGTTTGGGGGCATCAGGGGTCACCAAGGTGGGCTCAGGGGTGTCTGGGGCCTCTGCAGTGGGCTTGAGGGGCTCTGGGGCCTTCAAGGCGGGCTCGGGGCAGTCTGGAGCGTTTGCGGCGGGCTCAAGGCGGTCCGGGTAACCTGAGACAGGCCCAGAAGGCCCTGCATCTTTAGCTATGGGTGAAGCCCAGGGCGTCCTGGCATCAGCAGCTGGGTCCGGGCCGCCCTGTTGGGTCTGGTCTAAGGCTGGAGGTTCCGGGTCTCCAGCGTGGCCTGTGCCCTTCTCAGGCGCTGGCTTTAGTCCCAAGGTCTCGCCTCCTTCCTGCTGGACCGCAGCAGTCACGGGCTCAGCCCCCAGGGCGCAACCTGCGTCTGTCTGCAGGGGCAGATGTGTGGCCGCAGGGACTGGACCCTGGGCTGAGGTGTGGTCCTCCTCTTCCAGTAAGCACACCTGGCCTGCACCTGCCTTCACACTCTGTGGAGTGTCCGGGCAGCCCGCCCCGCCCTGTGCTGTCCACGGCCTGGGGCCTAAGGCAGTGCCCGCCCCCTCCTGCCAGGGCTGAGGTGCGCCCATGCTGACGGGCACTGCTCCCACGGTGGAGCCTGCCTCTCCCCCCAGGGCCTGAGGGGGCACCCCGGCAAGGCCTGGGGCTTCCTGTGAAGGCGGCAGGGCTGGGCTGGCCGCAGACACCTGGCCTGAGGTGGGGCCTGCCCTGGTGATTTCGGCAGCTCGGCCCAAATCCGATACCCCAGGAGCAGTGCCCCCAGGGCGGGCCGGGAGCGGGGCAGCGGGCTGCGCGTGCGGCTCCTCGCTGTACAGCCTCTCGTCCTCCACCCCCGTGTAGGAGGCCGAGTCAGGGTCGGAGGAGGCTGCCGAGGAGTCGTCCCGGAAGGCAAAGGCCTCGTCCACGCCCTCGGTGATGGAGAGATCGGACAGCGACTGCAGGGAGGAGGCGAACGTGCTGCCGTCCCCGTCCTCGCCGTCCGGCTCCTCCTCCGGGGGCAGTGGCGTCACCTCCACCGCCTCCACTTGGAAGATCAGGCTGCCGCGAAAAGGCAGGAGGGCAGCTGGGATCATCGGGTCGTTGGCCAGGAAGTCCAGCTCGAAGAAGTGGCCCTCCTGGTCCCAAGAAGAGCTGCTGTCTCCTGAGAGGCTGGACTCTGGGGATGGGGACCCTAGGGACTCCGCAGGGGTCGGCTCCCTCTCGTTGGCCTCAGACCCTGGTGGGGAGAAGCCCCAGCCTGAGGGCACGTCCAGCCCTTCGGCCACGGCCAGCAGGCTCAGGGAGCAGGATGGGGACGAGCCCCAGCTGTCCCCATCTGCCGTGACATAGGAGCCTGAGGGCGAGGCAGGTGGCGAATCCCCGGGCTCGGTCTGGAGCTCGGTCTCGGCTGCCCAGCCACGGCCGGGGAGCAGGGTGGCGGTGGTCTGGCTGGGGCTGGAGGGTGGCGTGAAGTAGCAGTCGGGGTCTGTGGCAGGCACAGGCGTCAGCAGGGCTCCCTGAGGATGTGCTGCGGGGGGCGGGCTCGGACTGGCAGGCCCCCGCGCCCGGTCCCTGAGCTCCGGCAGAGCTGCCCAGGGCAGTGGGGGCGCCCGGCATGTCTCCTCGCCCATTGCAATCCGAGGCTCCAGAGCGCCTGGGACAGGCCCCCCGATGGGCAGGACCTCGGGGGGCCCTGGGCTGGGGCTGCTCTTTGCTGGGACTGCCCAGGTCGAGGGGGCCTGGTGGGACCCTGCATCCCAGCTGGCTCCCTCGGGTGGGGGCCGGGCACCAGGCTTGCTAGGCAGGAACGTGAGGGCCAGGGCGCTGGGCCCGGGGGTCAGGGCGCAGGGCTGCAGCCGGTCCCCTCGTGGGGTGGTGGCCGTGGCCGCATTCAAGGGCAGGTCTGTGGAGAGAAGAGCGCATGAGCAGGGAGGGGCTGGGGCATGGGCTGTGGCTGTGGCACAAACAGGCCCCCTGGCTTGTCTGAGATGCTCGGTGACGAAGACAGTGCCTGTCCCCTTGGACACTGGCTTGCCGTCTCCTGCACATAGTCTGGGTTTGGCAGGTGAAGCCCTCTCATGACCTCCCCGGTCCCAGGGCAGGGGGCCTGCACTCTGCTCAGCTCTGGAACGTTCCACCCCCAGGCACAGCATCTCCTATGCCTCGGCTTGCTGGAGTGGCCAGAGGTTCCTGAGAAGGGGTCCTTTGGGTCCACTGGAGTGTAATGAGTACCCACTGCCTCGAGGTGGGTGTGGCGGATGGGTGGGCACCTGAGCCTGGCATGGTCACCTTGCCCACCTGCACTGGACCCTGGGGCAGGGGCCGAGGCCGGAGTGGAACGGAAGCCTAAAGGTCAAAGGTTTCAGTGACTCATTCAAGGTCATCAAACAGTCAGAGCAGGGACTGCCCCAGACCCTACATCTGGAGACCCCAGCCCTGCTCCCTTTATTGGACCCAGCACTGGTCCCATCTCCAGGTGACAGCAAGGTGCCCTTGGCTCTCCCACAGCCACACAGGGCTGACCTGCTGGGCCACCCTGACCGGCCTTCCGGCCTTCCCAGGCTCAGGCAGCTGCCCTCAGCCTCCACCATTGCTGGCCTAGCCTCTCCAGGGAGATGGGCCTGCACACCTCGCCGCGACCCCCAGGGCCTCCGAGCTCCCACACCCACAGGCGCCAGCACCCTTCCTGCTCCTCGCTCCAGGACCAGTCTCGGCCCTGAACGGCCCTCAGGCATGAGGCAGGTGTCCCCGCGGGCCGGGGTGCACACAGGCCCGCACCGCAGCTCCGGTGCAGACAATAGGGGTGCACGGAGCCTTGGGCGCTCGCAGGCCCTCCAGGCCCGTCTACCCTGCTGCACCCGCCCTTCCCCGCGGGCAGGGGGCAAGGGGCAGGGGTCAGCATTCCTGTGCACGGAAGGGCAAGGCGCGAAAACACGGGGAGGGGACGGAGAGGGGACCAGGCCGGACGGAGGGGCGGGGAAGCCTCACGAGGCGGAAAGCGCGGGGCCTCACCTGTGCGGGGCCCTGGCCCGCCGGCCTCTGGCAGCAGCAGCTCGGCGCGGGCCGCCTCCCCGGGCATGGCCTGGCGGTGCGCCCGTCCCTCCGTCCCGGTGCGTCCGTACGTCCGTCCCGCGGAGCCTGCGCGGCCACCGCCCCTCGCCCGGGGGATGGGGGTGTCAGTGGATGACGTCAGGGCCGCCCCGCCCGCCAGCGCCCAGAGTGAGCGTGCGCAGGGGCGCCAGGCACTGCGGAGCGCAGGGGGGCGGCTCCCTCCCCACCGCATCGTGCGCCCTCCTCCCGCGGTGCGTGGCACTGCTTTTCCCGCAGCATCCCCCCATCCCTTTAACGGGAAAGGGGTTCACGGCCAGTGGAGGCTGGGCTGACCCCAGGGTGGCATCGCTTCTTAGCCATGTCGGGAAGAGGCAGGGGTTGTCAGAACTCGGGGTGTGGGGGGTCCAGGCACTTTAGGGGAGGCGGCAGCAGCACAGTACCCCCGCCTGGCCTGCTGGCCCCCATTTGTCCCGGCCAGGGGTCCCCGCCCAGCCTGGTGCCTCTATCCAAGAGGTGAGCTGGAGCCGCAGCCCTGCACTGATTGGCTGGTGTGCGCGAGTCAGTCTCCATGGTAACTGCCTCCCGGCTCCATAGCAACCAGAGAGAGGATGGGTCCCGGGCTCCCTGCTGCCGAACACGCAGGTCTCCGCCATGGAAGGAAGAGGGACATTTGCCTCACTCTGTTCCCGGCAGCGCCCCTGCCACGCCCCCAAGGACTCCAGCCCTCCCTCTGGGAGCCTCAGAGATGCAGGCGAGCGTCTGCCCTGTGCCAGGCTCCAGGAGACAGATGGACATTGTCACCACCCGAGCTGGAGCGGGGGGTCCGGGAGTCAGAGCAGCCGTTGTTGGCAGGTGTCCATTCTGTCTTCTGCTGGCTCCACCCCAGAGCCCACGGAGCCAGGGGCTGCAGCGGGCACAGACCACCACGCCCCAGCCTCCCCTCCTGCATCCTGCATCCCCCTCAGTAGCTGGAAATCCGTCCCCCGTCCCCCAGAGAGGCTCCTGCCCCTCTCCTTCCGGTGCCCTCTTCCTTCCCCTCACTGGGTCCTCTGCAGGTTGCCTGCCATCTGGCCACCACCACCACCAACTTTCTAGAAACCAAAAGCCACACAAGCAGAAAACGACAAAGCCAAGAGCAGAAATCAGTGACATTGGAAACAAAGCAAGAGAGAAAATCAATGAAAACAAAAATCTGATTCTTTGAAAAATCAGTAAAATTGATAAATCTGTAGCAAGATTGACAAAAAAAAAAAAACAAAAGACCAGTATCGGGAAAGCAGTGGGTCTGTGACAGCTCATTTTACATGTCAAGTCGCTGGAAGCAGGGCAGCCCAGGTGGCTGGCGGACACATTCCGGAAGGGGCCCGGCAAGGCCAGCACCTGACACCCGCGACTGGGCTGAGTCCGCCCTCAGCTGTGTGGCTGCAGCATCCCACCCGTCAGGAGCCCAGAGGAGCAGAAAGGTGACGGAGGGAGAATTCTCTCTCCTGGACCTGGGACATCCATCTGTGGCCCTGGACACTGGGGCTCCCGGTTCTTCGGCATTTGGACTTGAACTGAACTATTCCTCCGGCCCTGGCTCTCCCGGGTCTCCAGCTCGCTAACGGCAGGTTGCGTCACTGACTCTCGGCCTCCATAACTGGGTGGGCCAATTCCTGTGATAAACCCCCTTCACATTTACCTGTACACAGGCTGTTGGTTCCGTCTGCAGGACACTGACGAGTAACAGGGCCATTATAAGGATACCAAGGGAATGCTACAAACAATACTCATAAACCCAACGACACTGAAGAAAGGAATTGATTACTTCAAAATTAAAACCTGCCAAAATTCAAACAAGATGAAATAGATAATATGAATGGCCCTATAACCATGAAGAAAATTGAATTTGTAATTTAAAAGCTTCCTCAAAGAAATCTCCAGGTCCAGATGATTTTACTGGAGAATTCTACCAAGTATTTAAAGTAGAATCAGCATCAATTTTAAACAATCTCTTCAAGAAAATAGAAGAGGGAACACTCCCTGACTCATTTTGAGACTAGAAACCCTGATTCCAAAACCAGGTGGAGACAACACTCCAAGGAAACAAAAAGTACAGGATGCCCCTGACTCACTAGGCACAGAAATTCTCAGCAAAACATCGGCTGAGAATCTAATGATGAATAAAGTCTGAATGAAGTGGGATTCCTCCAGGTGTGCGAGGTTCGGCACTTGAAAGTCGATGTCATGCTCCATACCAACACGCTGAAGAAAAAAATTCCGTATCAACTGATACAGAAAAAGCATTGACATAATCCAACAGCCATTCAGAAAAAAAAAAAAACTCGATTAAACTCACAATAGGCTCACGGCTCACACCACACCTGACGGTGAACAGCTGCGTCGTCTAAGACGTCTGCTGTCACCACGCCACTCAACACAGCACGGAAGTCTCCACCTGGCAGCGAGGCCGGGAAAGCAGAGGGCAGAGGGACTTCTGGCATGGCGGGAGTGGGGGTGGGGGGCTCCCGAGCAGCCCCCAGCGAGACTGGACACGATGACAAACACCTAGAGCCCCTGGAAGTGGTCTGAAGGACAAACATCAAGTGGGGAGGTCGCCCCCTGAGAACGGCGATGTCTTGAGAAAGTGGGACCCGCGGTGCTGAGCCCAGGCTGCCCCCTTCCCATCCCTCAGAGCGGAGCGAGGCAGCCACTGCTCCTTCCTGGGGAGCCTTCAGTGGTTCTTGTCCTGGCCCCAGATACCTGCTGCTGAGGCCGAGTCCCAGGCCAGTGTGGCCGAGTGGGGCTGCCCTCTGCTCGGCCCCCACTGCGGGTGGGGGACCCCGCCTGGGACTCGGCACGCTGATCCTGGGCCCCGAGAGCCCATCTCCAGGATGCCAGGAGAGGCGTCCCCCCGCCCCCCGGCGTGCTCAGCTTCGAGAGTCAGGCTGTCTCTCAGGAGCTGACCAGGGCCCCAGCTCCGAACCCGCCCCGAGGCCTCCCGCAGCAGGGCAGGGGGAAGTTTGGGCCCAGGGCGCTCTCAGGACAGGGCTGGCAGTGCTGAGAGGCGACTGGGAAGAGCAGGTGCACTCCACAGGCCAGGCGACGGGGCACAGCCGTACACCTCCCCGGGGGGACATCAGAGGGAAGATGCTTAGGCTGCAAAGTAAACAAGCAGGTAACAAAGCCCCAGGGGGAGAGGGGTTGGCTTGGCACCCAGAGTTGTTACAATATTTTATCTAAGATGTCCGATTTCCAACAAAAAATCACCAGGCAAACAAACAGGAACGACCACAGGCCAGGCGACTGGGCACAGCCATACACCTCCCCGGGGGGACATCAGAGGGAAGATGCTTAGGCTGCAAAGTAAACAAGCAGGTAACAAAGCCCCAGGGGGAGAGGGGTTGGCTTGGCACCCAGAGTTGTTACAATATTTTATCTAAGATGTCCGATTTCCAACAAAAAATCACCAGGCAAACAAACAGGAACAAATATGACCCCTACACTGGTTAAAAAAAAAAAGCAGGCAACAGAAACTGCCTGAGCGATCAGACGCCATTTTCCACAGAGAGGCTTCCTGACAGCCACTGTACGTTGTTCTCAGCCCCCAAAAGCATGGATGCGGTAGAAAAAGGTATGATGATGAAAACACACAAAATAGAGAATATCAATAAAGATGCAGATTATGAAACTCACTACAGAGGCTGAACAGATTGGAAGCGCAGGAAGAATCAGTGAACTCGCAGACAGACCACAAGGGGCTGCAGACCGAAGACTGGAGAGGAACGGGAAAACGAGCGGCCCGGGAGAAACGTGGCCCCGAAGAACGCACCCCCCACGCACAACATGGGTGCTGGGGGAGGGGCGGGAGGAGGACATTCAAAGCCATGGCCGAAAACTCCCCAGGACCACGGAAAATGGTAGCCTGTACATTCAGGAAGCTCGCAGGCTCCAAGCAGCACACGCGCGAGCAGACGCCCAAACCGCACGGAAACGCGCACGTCGAAGACGAGATCTCCAAGGCAGCGAGAAGAATCAGAACTGATCGAATGAGTTCGGCAAGGCTGGAGGATTCGAGATTGACAAAAATCCACACTGTATTTCTATAAACTTTCAATTAACGACCCAAAATCGAAATAAAAAAATTCCATTCACAACAGCACCAAAAGGAATAAAACAATAACAAATTTAACAAAGTTCAATATTTATGCTCTGAAACACATGGAATCGCAAGATGCGCGGAACGGCCCAAACAATCCTGAAGAAGAAACGCCGGCGGCTTCGCACGCCCCAGCGTGAGCACACACAGAGCAGCCATCGAGACACGGTGCTGCTGAGCCCAGACACAAACCCGCGCGTCTGCGGCTAAGGGATTTCCGCGTGGGCGTCGGGGCTGCGCGTGGGGACAGCCCCCTTCACAGTGCCAGGAAACTGGAGAGTCACATGCAAAAGAATGGAGTTGACGCTGCCTGCACACTAATAAACGTTAACTCGAAATGGACATAAGATAAAAATTTAAGAGCAAAAATGATAAAATTTGTGGAAGAAAACATGGGGGTAAATATTTATGACTTCGCATTCACCAAACACATGGCACCAAAAGCTTGAGCGAAAAAAAAGGTAACGCTGGACTGTGCCGAGGTTTTTTCCTAGGCGAGGCGACCCTTGGTTGACCTCAGAGATTGCAAGGACCTTGTCAGTTTATAATCCCATATATTTTTATTTTTTACGCCTACAGCACCTGGTCTTCCTAGGTGGTCTCCCATCCAAGTACTAACCAGGCCGGACCCTGCTTAGCTTCTGAGATCAGCCAGGATCGGGCTTGTTCAGGGTGGCGTGGCCGTGGACAGCACCAGGATTTGAAATGTTTGTGCTCCAAACGACACCGTCAAGAAAGTAAAAGCATGAAGTGGGGGGAAACGTTTGCAAATCATGTATCTGATGAGACTTGTTTCCAAAGCACGTAAAAAGAACTGTTGAAATCATTAATAAGACAATGTAATTAAGAATGGGACAGAGAATCTAAATAGGTATTTCTGCAGAGATCACGTAAGTGACAATAAGCAAAGACCTAAAGAAATCAATCTTCATGAAAATACACACCAAAACCAGTGAGGTCCCACCTCCTGCCAAGATGACTGAATGAAAGGGTAAGTGACAGGGCCGCTCACTGGCCACGGGGACACACTCGTCACGACAGCTGCACAACTAGCACGACCTGTACTGCTCCTTGCACACGGAGGGGCCAGCGGCACAGGGGCTCTGGTCTTTGGCTGTTTCTCAACTTGACCCGTGACCCCCTACAAGCTGGCAGTTACCCCGACAGTCTCTGCAGCGACACAGAAGGGGGTGCGGGGGTGTGCAGCAGCCTCGGTGGACCCCTGGAAACTGCCACGCAGAGACCCGTCGTACAGTACGCGCTGTGACTCTAGACCAGTGCTCCCCAACCTTTGTGGCACCAGTGCTCCTATGAGAACCTATACCTGACACCCCGAGGTGGAGCCGAGGTGGTGATGCTGGCGCTGGGGAGCAGCCGTGCGCCCCGGTTCCCAACAAGCCACAGACAGCTACCAGTTGCCAGCCTGGGGTTTGGGGACCCCTGCTCTAGAGAACGTTCTCAGAATAACCAACTGCAAAGGGAGAACAGGAAGGCCGTGGCTGGTGGCCAGAGGTGAGGGGGAGGCGAGTATGAAGGGGGACGGGGGCCGTGGTGGTGCCGTGCGCCACGGCAGAGATGGTGCCCCAGGCAGGAGGGAGGGCACGGCGCCCGGGTACTGAGGAGCAGTGGTCCTGGGGTGGGCAGGATGAGCTCGCGCTCCCTTGATGGGGTCTCAGGGGGCCCCTGAGGTGCACAATGGCGCTTGTCCCCACAGATCCTTCACCCTGGAATGCCCTCCCTGCTCCCTCATCTAGCCTGGGGACAGTGTGACCAGCTTCTGAAAAGCTCTCTGGCTGCTCACCCCACTCCCTCCACTCCCCGCAGCCTGTGCAAAATGACAGACTTGTGTCCCACACGCCGGTGCCTGCTGGCTCCCCATCTACTCGGACGTCCATTGTCAGTGGTGAGGTTTTCACAGGAGGGGCCACTCGGGGGGCTGGGGCGCCCAGGGCAGCAGGGTGGCCCTTCTCGGCTCCACCCCACTGCGCTTCCAGGTGTGAGACAGCGCCCGGCCTCCGCTCCGGGGATGTTCTGCGGGAGCGGTTCGCTGAGGGACTGGGGGGAGGGGAAGCCTGTTTCCTCCCCGCATCGGGCAGCGCTGCTGCTGGGCGGTGCCCATGACGGCAGCACAGGACGACACTGGTCCGAGTGTGACGGCAGTGAGGCCCCTCCCAGGGTCACAGTGCCAGCCAGGTGCACTCCTGTCTTCTGCTCCACAGCCGGTGCCTTCTGAGTGCCTCGCCCCAAGGCCACCTGTCAGCATAGGCCATGAGAATCCCCTAGGACTGTGACCACCCGCAATCAGAACCCCGAGACAGGCACTCGAGCCCCGTCGGGCCTCACAATTCTAGGACTTGGTCTGTGCCGGGCGGGACGTAGGCCCTTAAGCCACAGGCAGCCACGAGCAAATGGACACGAGGACCCGTGAATGGCAGAAAACAGGCCACGGGCAGCGGGTGACAGGGCAGCCGGGGGGCCAGCACCTGGGAAGGGAACACAGGGCGGAGCCCCGGGCGGCCACCTGCCACCCACAGGAGGCGGGCGAGAACGCAGGGGACGCAGCATAGGGTTGTGACAAAGCCTCCGACGCCTCCTGGTGCTGAAAACCAAAACTAAAGATTGATGATTTATTAGCCGCCAGAGGGCGATCTGCCACTCCGAGTGGCTGGCCAGCACCCACTCTGGCCGAGGTCCCGCGCTAAGGTCTGTCCTCGAGTGCGCTGCCTCCTGCCGCCCGAGGCCCCCGGGCCAGGCCGTGCGACGGTCACTTGGCCAGCTCCTCTGCCACCGCCTTCCGCATCTTGTCCTTGAGGTAAGCGCCTTTCTGCCACTCAGACTTGAGCTCCGACCACTCGTAATAGGGGACCTGGGGGTGGGGGTGGGATGAACCAGTGTGGGTGGGGGCCTGGCTTTGCCCTCTGCACGCACGCCACAGCCTGGCCACAGCCTGGCCACAGCCCGGCCGAACCCCAGAGGGAGGGAGCTGGAGGAGGTGTGCCAGGCCCGTGAAGACCGAGATCCATATGGCACCCGAGAATGGCTTCTGAATTTCCAAAAGGCCGTTTAGAAAAAACCAACCACCCAAAGATGACGTGACGGGCCCCTCATGTGGCCCATGAAGCCACGCGTGGTCTCTGGCTCTTGAGGGCGCCAGCACTGCCTGGAAGGAGCGAGACGAGGTGGTGACTGTCTCCCAGGTGCCGACGGGAGCAGAGGCCCCACCGACACGTCGTGTGGCCCTGTGGGCTCCCCCTTTCTTGGGCGGGGCCGGGGGCTCCCTAGTCCGGTTCCCGCCTGCCCGACAGGGACTCACGTCCACCACCAGGAAGCCAGCGGCCAGCACATGACGCCGGGCCATCACGAAGCGCCCCAGCAGCTCTTTGCTCCGGCTGTTGAAGTTGGGGAACTCCCAGCGCAGGAAGGCCAGCCTAGGGGAGATGGGGCGCTGGGTGCTGACAGCCTCCCCACCACCCCCAAGGCAACGGCAGCCAGAGGGGAGCCAAGGGGCAGCCGGGAGCGGCATGCCACCCACCTCTTGGCCCGGGGGGGCAGCGGCTGGCTCCCAGAGGATGCAGTGAGATGAGGGGCCACGAAGTCCCTGAGGGGCAGGAACTGGCCATCAGCGTCCAGCAGCACCTCGGCATCTGTGGAGGGGACGCAAGATGCAAACGCTGGGGACGGCCGCCAGGGAGCGGCTGCGACCTCCACAGCTCTCTGGCTGAGCAAGTCCCACACCGAGCGGGCCGGAGAGTGGGGGGCCCTCACCCAGGACCCAGCCGTACTGCGTGGCCACCACGAAGCTGCCCCTGTCAGAGCTCCCCAGCAGCCCCTTCAGCGTCTCCTGCAGCTCCTTCTGGAAGGGTGTCGCCTTCCTGTCGGCTGAGGGCCGGGGACCCAAGGCTGAGGCCGGCAAGAAGGGGCCCGTGTACGTGGGGTGCTCCAGCCGGGCAGTGGAGTTGATGTGCAGCAGCTTCTGGAAGGTGCTCTGATCCTTCGGTGACCCACTACCTGAGGACAGGAGACGCAGTGAGACGGGCGGACAGCGGCAGAAAGAGGGTCTGTGTGTCCTGAGGGCTGACAGAGGACCCCGGGGCGGGCTCTGGCTGGGCCACGCCCTTCCCTGTAGGCAGTGGGGCCCCGGCCACAGCAGCACTGACGGGGTGACGGGCACCACCGCCGTATAGGAGGGGGACCCTGCTACTCACCTAGGAACTGACGGTGAAACTCAGGGCGCAGCACGGCCTGGAGCTCGGCCTCCCGTGCCTGCTGCAGCACACACAGGGCCCACAGCACATCCACCTGGAGGCCTGGGTCCAGCCTGGCCAGCTCTGGCTCCAGCTTCTCGTGTACCTGGCGAGGACAGGGTGCGGTGCGGACGGCGGGCTGTTTTCAGTGGCTGCAGACACCCTGGCCCCCCGGTACCTCATCCCCTACGACCAATCTGGACAGGATGAGCAGCTCGGTGGGCTTTCCCGGCGTCCCCCACAGTGGCAGGGGCCTGGGGCACCATGTCACGTCTCTAATGCTGTTCTGAGCAGGCCCAGGGCATGGGGATGCGTTTGTGGCCCTGGGAGGGATCGAACGACACAAAATGGGAGGCAGCGGCCAGCGGGGCGGGGGGCGGGGGTGTGTCCCTGCAGGGTCTAGGATCACTCCCCTCCCCCAAGCAGCATGCTCGGCCCAGCCCGTGGGTCTACGAGTGCCTCCCCGACCTATGGCCACTCTGGGCCACTTGGCTGGCGTGCTGGGAGTTCGCATTTTGCCCTAGACAACCCCAGGGCACCTGGGTCCCCAGTCCCCCCAAAGCCTTCTGTGCCGCCTGGAGGAAGAGGGTAGGGGACAGGGCACGGGGTGTGAGGGCCGTACCAGGCTGAAGAAGCGGTCCTCTAGCTCCGGGCGGAAGTTGAGGCGGGCGAAAGCCAGCAGCATGTTGCACAGGTGTGGCAGGGCGATGTTCTGGCCTCTGCTCAGGGTGTGCTGGCGGCAGAAGGGCAGGGTGAGGCCGGTACGTGGGTGGTGGGCCGGACCCTCCCCTCCAAGCACTGAGCCCCCAGGACCGCCCCGACCCGGCTTTGCAGACACCCCTCGGCCGGCAGATGCAGCTCCGACCGTTGCCCACTTGCCACCCAGACAATGGGACCCTGTTCCCAAGGCCTTCGAGTGACATCACTTCTCCAAATAAGTCAGAAGGAAACCCAAGTTGCCACCAGAGAGGCTCCTGGAGGTGGGGCTCAGGCCCAAGGCCCCCTCACCTGGGCGAAGGCCTCGAACAGGGGCAGGTTTAGCCACTTGAGGAAAGCGAAGGACTTGGCGCAGCGAGCCACCTCGCCGGGCGTGAGACCGGGCACGTGGGGCAGCAGGTCTGCGGCCAAGCGCTGGAACACCTGGGTCTGGTGGAAGCCGAGCTTGCCTGAGGAACAGAGCAGACCCTGGCATTTACCTGGTGGCCCAGCCCACTGCCCCACCCGACTTCCACTCTAGGAGCTGGTGTCTGTAACCGAATCTATCCCTGAGGCCCAGGGAACGGGCTCAGGGCCCATGAGTCACAGTGCTTCTATGGCAGCCTTTCGGGCCAGCGCCGGCCATGGGTGGGCAGGCACCGAATTTGACACGGCTGCGGCCAGACGCCCCTTGCGCCCCCCGTGTGAAGGGCTCACCGTAGGCGTAGGCCAGGTCCAGGAGGACGCCTTTCGTCAGGGGGAAGGGCTTCTGGACCAGATGGTACGAGATGGCCCGCAGCAAGGGGACCGACCGCCGGTTCTGAGCTGCCAGCGCCACCAGCACCTTCCGCAGGTCGTCAGGGCCAAACTGCTCCACCAGCTCCAGACACTGTCAACCACAGCCGCAGGGGTCAGCTTGATGGCCTGAGGACCAGAGGTCCCATGCAGTGCAGCCCCTGTGAGACAGCAACTGGACCTGAGCTTACTAAACACGGGCCGCATCGGTACAGGGCCTCGGGCACCATGTCCGCAGCCAAACTTATCCCCAGGTCCCAGGTCAGGGGACCCAGGGCCCATGAGCTGCGGAGCTTACTGTGGCAGCCATCCGGGCCAGCCCCCGCTATGACCGGAACGGGGCTGAATTTGACTTGGCTGCGAGGCTGAGGCTGAGGGCCACCACGGCTCAGGACACACCAGCCAGAAGCTAAACTTGGAGCTGGCCCAGGCCACATGGGCTGCAGGCTCCCGTGGCCTGGGCCCTCAGCGCCCCTCTGCGTCCCGCCCCCAGCCTCGGTACCTTGTCCTCCAGGCGGTTCATCAGCGGCTCCGAGAGGTGGCCCGTCCTCATCATGATGGTCACCAGTGTGCGGCCGTCCTCGATTTCTGCCCAGCGCCGCTCCAGGTGCAGGAGCAGCTCCGCCAGCAGCTCCTGGGAGCCCCGCTCCTGCATGTAGGCGGTGCTGGACTCGGCCAGGAAGGCCAGGTGCTTGTACCTGAGTCTGCGCAGGCGCCAGCGCACCTCCTGCTCCACTGACCGCAGCTCCTTGGAGGCCGCCGGGAGCGCCAGCGCATACAGGCTCCGGAGCAGCTTCACCAGGGTCCCGTGCCAGACGGCAGTTATCTGCGGGGGAACAGGCAAGGTCACGCCTTGGTCCCCGCCAGCGCTGCAGAGTGGGCCGACGGCCTGTTTGCTGAGCCCGACTCCCCAACTCCACAAAGCGTCACTTCGGCTCCCATCAGCCGGTTGTTTGCTGTCACCGGAAGGCAAGAGCTCTGAGTGATGAGACCCTCTGGGTCCCCGTGACACTGACCCTACCGATGTGGGGACTAAGCGGGCGTGGTTGCGGCCCTGCCTGCGTCTCCCGCAGACATGAGCTGCAGGTGCAGCTGCCCAGTCCAGGGCGAAGCCTCCGGCACCGCGACTCTGGGTCAAGACGGGGCCGACGGGCCTCTTAAGGCCAGTTTTGTCAACCACCTCGTTCTCTTGCTGACGATGATACTATCTAGCTAAAAACCCAAAACAAGACACTGACTTTTCTTCAAGAAAATAACTAACGCCGAGTCTGACAAGCCCTAATTCCTAAACCTGTCCTCCAACAAGGCAGTTGTGACAACTTCCTAAGCCCACCCACCCATCGGCCTGGTGCCCAAAGCTGCACGGGAGGCCCTTGGCTTTGGATATGGGGGTGACAGACACCACGGTATCTCTTAGGCTGCCCCCCTGGCTGGGGGCTCGCTGCCACCACCATCGGCTCTTACGCACTGCAGGCACTCCTGGACAAACCCGTGTGTGTCGGGAGCCGCATGCTGTGAGGCATGACCGCCTCGTGTCACGTGCCATCTCCGCTAGGTCCCTGTGTGAACGGCAGGACCAGCACCTACACCCAGGAGGTCTGAAACCGGCCTTACCCCCTACACCTGCATGAGGGTGACCCTGCTGATCCCTGCACGTCTGCAGGCCTCAGAGTAACACGGGGCCAGCAGAGGGGCCCCGTGGCCCAGACTACACCGTCACGGGAGGCGGCCGTGGCTCTGCAGTTTGCTGCACCGTCTTAAGCACAGCGGCACAAGCCTCCTGGTCCCAGCCTCAGCCTCGCCACCTGCGAAACGGGACAGCCTTGCTGAGGGGGACGGAAGACACGCGTGCGGAGCATGTGGGAGACAGAAACGCCACCGAGTGCAGGGCCGGGTGGCGGAAAAGCACTGGGTGGATTTTAACGTCACGTGTGACCCAGGTGCCTGCGTCTCTGCAGACTTTGTGGAAAAAAGGGATTTTTAAAAGCAACGCAGTCGTGCTTTCTTCGTGTTGTAAATGCCTTGTCCCGTTTGTTACTAAACTTGTCAGGACGTTTAGTATCCTACTGTGTGTGATCAACGAGTAAGGACTGGAACTGCTGACTCAGGACTGAGGAACGTGCTCACGGTGATCTCCACGGGACGCTCTCCCTTGTCTCGAGCTCATCCGTTGCGGGTCCGACCGGCTGGATGACACCACGCCCAGCTCAAGTTTCTGGGACCCTCCGTCAGTCACCACCGCACTTCCTTTAGCTTAGAGTGTGCCGCCGTCAGCCAGACCCTGACTGCCTGGCACGGGGAGGGGAGCCCCGACCGAACGAGAAGAACCAGGCTCGCCTCGCGGGCTTCCATGTGCCACCTGCCTGGCTGCAGGACGAGGACGGCGGCCCTTGTGGAACGGCCGCTGGGAGGGTCAACAGCGAGAAAGCCCGCGGAGCGCTGCGGCCCGCGACTGGCTGCTCTGGCTCCAGTGCCCCTGCCGTCTCCGCTGCTGACTGGTCCGGAACCCACCTGACTGTTGACAAGATGGAGAAGTTGCTGAAAGCGGACATCCTGCGCGAGCGAGGCTTTGTCTGCTGGCCTCTCGGACAGCAGCCGGGAGAGCTGGATGAGCACGAGGGCCGCCTGGCTCTGGTTCAGGCAGTGGCCTCCTTCGAGAAGCCCCAAGAGCTCCTCCGGCTGGGTGGCCTTCTCAATGAGCTCGTCCACCTCCTGGCGCTCTGGGGAGGGAGTGAACACCTGTCCCTTCTCCACGTGCTGTGACAAGGAGCTGGGCGAGGCAGCCGAGGAAGTCAGAGTCTTATGGGCTACTCCGGCAAGTCTCAGCTGGCCAACTGGAGGCCCAGCGGGGGCCAAACGAGTGGCCTGTCTCAGGAGGCACGTGCATCGCTTCACCAGGCGAGCTGCCATGATGGCCTTGGTGGCAGGGAGCTGGGACTCCTAGCCAGCGACTCGAGGGCCCTGAAAAGAGAGAGAGAGGGTGGTGCAGGGTACTCCGTGACTCACAAACACAAGAACTCGACAAATGAAACAGTCACAGCCACACTCCCCAGAGCCCAGCAAACCTTTCGTTTACATGCACGCAGTGGCGTTTTCTGTCTGAAGCAAAGATCGCAGAGGATTTTTTTCAGTATGGGATGTAACGGAACATCGAACCCAGGAGCACTGCAGCCTGGGCTGGGGGGTTTCCGGCCCCAGTGTGTGCAGAGAGCATGCAAGAGCAGCTCAACGACCCAGGTTTCGGGGCGCCTGTGTGAGCGGGGCAGGGCGCAGGCAGCTCCGGTATCAAAAGGGAAGAGGCCTCAGGCGAAAGGGTTTGGAGATGATGAGACCAGGTATTTTCAGTCAGACTAGTCCGGGAAAACGCTGGACATAAGACTCTAACCTACGGCTTCGTGGGTTTTAATACAGACTTGGAGCGAGCTCCCCAAATCATTACCGACCTACTTAAACACACACACTAACTTCTAAGGATCAAACTCCTAAACTGATCATAAAAAGCCACGTCCCAACACTGCCCAATATTTTCTTCCCAGTCTTCCCTCTGCTTCCTCCCTGCAACACATTGCGTCCTAAGCAGGCCTCGCCCGCGGGCCGCACCCTACCTGACAGGGCCTGCTGCCCGCTGCCGCACCCCCACCACAGGGCCCTGGAAGTCGCATCTTCCCAAGCCCAGACAGAACGTTTCCTCCTCCGAGAAGTTACAGATCCCAACCGCGTCTTTTAACAGTCCTGTCTGGCAGCCTTCCTCGCCAGGCGATTAAACCACCGAGGGAAGGCACGTGACCAGAAGATAAAATGTCAACCTGGGCCTCCCTCCTGCCAAAGCAGAGGATGTCTGACCTTAGATATCCCCGGACGTGGCCAGGTTATTGCGGACGTAAAAAGCGCAGTCTAAATCTACACAAAGAAGGGGGCGCAGGAAGGGGGACACGGACTCGAGGCCACCACCCTCTGCGCGGAGCCGGGCAGCGGGGAAGCGCGGGAAACTCCCGATGACGACAGACGTACGAGCTGGGGAGGAAGCTGGGCCTCAGGTGCGGAGAGCGGCCCGCACCGAAGCACGGAGAGATCCGGCCCGCGGGGACCCGGCCGTCAGAGCGGGGGTCGCAGGCGGGACGGGGCGCGTGCGCAGGAGAGGGCGCGACCCCGAGCGGCTCCGGGCCCCGGCTCCC